TGGGGAGAAGAGCTCAGAATCTCCCTTTCCACTTCCCCTCAGGAAGCTGTAGAGAGCCATGAGGTCACCCCTCAGCCTCCTTCTCTCCAAACTAGAAAAATCCAGAGTCCACAGCTACTCCTCATAGGACATTCCTTTCAGCCCCTTCACCAGCTTCGTTGCTCTCCTCTGGAGACATTCAAGGACCTGAACATCCTTCTTGAACTGTGGGGCCCAGAGCTGCACACAGTACTCAAGATGAGGCCATAGAAATGCTGAACACAGTGGAATAATCCCCTCTTTTGACCGGCTGGTTGTGCTGTGTTAGATGTACCCCAGGATGTGGTTTCCTCTCTTGGCTGCCAGGGCACACTGCTGACTCTCATTGAGCTTAACGGCAACCAGCACCCCCAGATCCCTTTCTGCAGCCCTTTCTCCCTTTCTCCAGCCATTCCTTTCCCAATTTAGACTTCTGCCCAGCATTACTCTGTCCTAGGTGGAGAATCCAACATCTGGACCCCCATTTATCACAGCCCAGTGCACCAACCTGTCTAGATCCCTCTGCAAGGCCTCTTGTACCTCAAAAGCCTTGGGAATCAAAGGCTGCAAGCTCTGTCCAAGACCTGCAGAGTGAATGCCCATGGCAGTAAATGAAATAGACCTTGTATGTACGGTCATTGCTTCTTCCCCTTTTCGGGCGCAGTAATTTTCAGTTTGAGATGAAGTTTAAACAATAAAGTCGATGTTGATTATACAAAGGTTTCAGGGAAAATTAGGTGGTTGAAGTAGCCTGTGCTGAATTAACCCTAGCTCCCAACTTAATTTCACACTTAAGAATAAATATGCTTCACTTTCTTTCTTTTTCTGTATAATCCCAAGTGTTTGCTGCATTCTCATCTCTTTCTTTTAGAGACAAAAATCACTCAATAGTAGATAAATCAATTATATTTTGTTTCTCCATTAACTTAGTTGCTATGTTACAAATTACATACAGGGTACATTTTGACCATAAAATGCAATAAGAACATTCACTTCTATAGCAGATAATTATCGTACTCTGATGCTCAGGCTCCACAGACAGTTACCTCAGCACAACCCTGATGATGGGAGCTTCTGTTCGGCAGCATGCACCCCATCAACTATTTTTTGAAAGCAGGGAGAGGCACAAGTTCCTTTTTCTGATACTTCTCAGGTGTTGCGGGATCAGCTTAGGTGTTCTGAAACTTTGAAACAAGGCCCCGAATTCTTGCTTTGTATAGAGTGCTAAGTGAAACAAAAGATCAGAAAGCAGAAGTGTTAATGAGGATGAAGACAATCTAATCCTGCTAAAATCTGTCCCTGTACGTTGACAGATTTTTCTTCTAGTTCTGAAGTTGTTTGGCTTCAGGACTCAGCCTAAAGACTCATTATTATAATTGACCAGAAGACAATTATTTAGAAGACAAAGAGAGTCTGAAAAGCTGCTGAATGGTGAGACAGACTTTTTTTTTAACAGCAGTAGATCAAAGTACAGTAATTATGCGATTTAATGCAAATGTGTTAATACAGGTATGAAGATTTCAAGGAGTTTCTAAAGCTGAGATTTATTTTAAAATGTGTTTCAAACAAAATCTTGTGTAATTTGTAAGAAGCTAAATCTCTCTCCTCAAACATTTTGCAAAAAAGAGCAAGTTAGTTCAATTACTTTTAAAGTACATTAGTATATAACAGTCACAACAGAGCATTACATTTCTATCCAACGAGCTAAAGTGCCTAGCCCACGGCATACCTGCAAAATTAAACGTAGATCAGGACAATCCTCTTGTAATGTCTTGGAAGAATGACTCATTTTTTCACAGCTGGCCAAGGTCTCATCTTGAGCCATATCAATATCTGGGGCATGCATGTGTAACTTGCAAACTAGTAACAAGAAAAAGTCTGGGAAGAGGGAAGGGTGCTAACAATTCTTCAACCAGCCCTCATCAGGGGCTTCCATGCTCTCCCACATGGCAGCTGGAAAAAGCAGAAGAGATCCCTAGTTCTTTTAAAAGTGAAGTCATAAAACTTCGGAGTGCTTGGATCCCAGTTATGGCAATAGTGCTTGCTATTGACGTTTCTCCCTAAAAGTGCCTTTAGCAGAAACTGTCAGTGTTTTTGGTTTTCTTCTCAGGCGTAAATCCTGGCTGGATTAAATCTCGCTGAAACCAGTGAACTACATACCATTCTTTATGTAAGGTAGCTGGAGGAAATCCCTGAGATTTTTCACGAAACACGGGGCTGAAGCAGTCTCAGATTCTCGGGAGCAGCCCACATGCCCACCAAATGCAACCGAAGCGTTTCTCAGGAACAGTGAGCTCTACTGTGTGTAGCTTTGGACAGCAGTGTACGTGTGTCTGGGTAGCAGCCAGCATAAGAGCTCAGGATTGGAAGCCAAAGGCTGCGTGTAGCCTGATGAGAGTTAAGTGAAGTGCCCATAGGTACCCAGGGCAGCAGACTGGAGGGCAGCACGCCAGCTAGCTGCTGCCACAGGGGCAGAGGTGAGTTGTATGGAGCAGTAGCTACTGCTGGGAAAAGCTGTTTTCACTCTTCTGTTCAAAGGAGGAGCAAGTGAGCTGACCTCTGCAGGGCTGGGTCTAAGTTCACCCTCAGCTCTACTCCCTCTTTTGTTATTCAGCGGCAAAACCAGCCTCTCTCACTCCTTATCCCTCATAGAGCCAAAGACAATTTTCTTTGCTTGGGGTCACAGCTTGGAATACAGCTCATTCCAGCTGCAGCTCTAATAAGCACAGCAGCATCACCCTCAGAAACATCTTTGTAAGAGGGCTTTGGCAAGTGCTAATTTAAAAGACTTTTGGTGCTGGTTTTCTAAATTTATTACTCTGCTGTTCAAGGAAGCAGGAAGTACTACAGTGTTGTAAGCCAACTGAATTGTCTGAGAGATTCTCATGCCAGTTTCTTCTCCAAACTAGATTAACCTGCAAGACCAATTTGTGTTTTGTTTTGTTTGCTAGCTTCTCATATCAAAGAGATTAGAAATACAATAAAAACCCATGTCATCTCATTGGGAGTCACCTTAAACGACAAGACCTCTCACAAGAAATTACCAATATCCGCTTGTAAGAGTCACTTTCACATGTCCATTTTATTTTGGATGCTCTTTATGGCCTGACAAAGCTGATAGGAAAGTCAAGGTAAGATGGAGTCAGTAAGTTCACTATTTTTTTAAACTTGCTTCACAGTAACCTAAAGCATTTGTATGCAAAGAAGGCAAGAAAAAGGCTGGTGACGTGCCCATCGCAGACCAAAATTAAATCCACTCTCTGCTTTCCCACTGTGTTTTTCTCTCCTCCCACCATTTATCTGGAGAGTTTGTAGGAAAGATAATCTGCTATGCATTTGTATAGTGTCAGCACAGTGGGAAGTGCAAAGGTCTTTTAATGATCAACTGTGTAACGACAAACTTTGCAATCCAGCTTTGAGAATGGCAATGTCAGTGCCCTTGGTGCCAAATTCATTCATCGCTTAACAACCTGATGAAGACAGGTGTCTTCAAGCGGGAATTCAGAGGACACTCATTGTGTTATCCTTGGTTTTATACAGCCCCATGAAGTCTTATCCCAATATTCTCAACAGCAATCCTCTTAGCATGTGTTTTCTTGACATACTTTGACTTAGGTTGTTGGAGCAGAATATGTTTCTGGAAGTGCAGCTCTTTGGGTTAAAAAATTTAATTTTTCTCCACCTTTCATCTTCCTAAGGCTCTTTTCTTTCTTTTTTTTTTTTTTTTGGTAAACATTCCTATCTCAAAATAGCTAGTATGAGATTTTAATTACACTTTTGAAAGAGTCCTATTTTCTCCTCTGCCTCTAGAACGACAGCGCGGTAAAGAGAGCACAGGGAGTTGGGATTTTTTTTTTTTTTTGGTAGACCATCTCCACTGAACAAGGCATTTGGCTGCCTACTTCTGGTATTTCTGGAACCTCAGCTGGCTTCTGTTTTCTACTCCTATACCCTACAAACATGCGGTACAGTGGCCAAGGACCGAGGAGACAGTCTGAGGGATTAATATTGGAGCACTGAGTACAACAAGAGTAGGTGAAACAAAGCAGTAACTGCCGCCTCAAAATAGATGCTTAAAGTTTGTAATATTTTAAAATTTGGTCTGTTCTTTTTGAAAACGTCGAATAAACTTCCCAGCGCTCCAGGCACAGAGCAACAAGTTACGAGATGCTGCAGCTTGTGGCAGAGGAAGCTTACAGAATCACAGAATCACAGAATCTTCTAGGTTGGAAGGGACCTTAAAGATCATTTTGTCCAACTGTCAACCTAACTGACAGAAATAGACACCCACACAACAAACAAGGAGCATCATCACTAAACCATACCTCCCAGCACTACATCAACCCGTCTTTTGAACACCTCCAGGGATGGTGCCTCAACCACCTCCCTGGGCAGCCCATTCCAATGGCTGATAACCCTTTCAGTGAAAAAATTTTTCCTAATATCCAGCCTGAACCTCCCCTGGCGCAACTTGAGGCTGTTTCCTCTCGTCCTGTCACCTGTGACTTGAGAGAAGAGGCCAACACCCACCTCTCTACACCCTCCTTTCAGGGAGTTGTAGAGAGCAATAAGGTCTCCCCTCAGCCTCCTCTTCTCCAGGCTGAATAACCCCAGTTCCCTCAGCCTCTCCTCATAAGACTTATTCTCCGGACTCAACCTTTTGAAGGGGAAGCTTTCGAAAGTGGTTACAGCCTTCAGGTTGGTTCCAAAAGTTGATCGCTGGACACTAGTGACGAGGGACGCCTTGTCCGAAGTGACTGGGACCCCCAAAACCCACCGGGCGTTGCTCCAAGCACACGGCGGAGCACCCATCCCCGCCGAGGGTCGGGGGGGCGTCCGGGTTTGAGGTGGAAGAGGGGGTGTCAACCCCCGCACCCCCCGCCACCTCCCGCCCGGCAGCGCCCGGGGAAGGGGAAGGCGAACGGGGCGGCCCGGCCTGCCGCCCTCCCTCCGCCGAAACCACTCCCCGAAGAGAAAGTCACCAGGGGGTGGGGAAATGGTGACAGCTCTCCAGGAAGCCGCCGCCGGCACCGGGAGACACCGAGGGGCGGCAGCCTGCTGGGTGGCAGCTTCCAGCCGCCTCCGCCACGGCGAAGCCAGCCCCGTCGGAGGCCTCCATGGGCTCCCCGCAGCGCCCGCCGCTCGCCCACGTCTTCAGGGGGACCTTCGTGCACTCCAGCGCCTCTGCGCCCATGGAGATCCTCCACGGACACCTGCTGGGGGTGGACGAGAGCGGGACGGTGAGCGCGGGGGGTGAGGGAAGGGGCGTTGCGGGGGCGGCCGGTGTGGGCGGCCGGGGGAGGCGCGGGACCCCGCCCCGCCGGGGCGGTGGTTCTCCAGAGGTGTCCCGCTCTCACCTGGCCTCCCCCTCTCACCTGGCCTCCCCCTGCCTTGGGGTGAGAATGCCCCTTTTTGGGTCCCGAGTGCCTTTCCGGGGGTGGTGAGGGTGAGGGCCGTCTCCGCCCGTCGGTGGGGAGAAAGTGGAAAATTTTGGCGCTGGGAGTCGTCGGGCGTCTGTCGGAGGGAGCCGCGGAGAAGGGGTTTCGTGCCCGCGGGAGCTGGAGATCACCGGGGTGGTGGGTGACCTCCTCGGCAGGGGTCTGCAGGTAGACGAAATCTGTCCCTGAAGTGTGCTCAGTGTCTCCACAGCAGCAGTGCGCCCGGACCAGGCTTTCTGCCAGATTATCGCGGTTTTCTTTCAGTTTCGCAAGCCGGTTTGTCATTCTCTCAGTAGCAAATAACGATCGTGAGTAATTTCACTGTACCCCCGGTACTCATGCACAGCCTCCTAAGTGAGGCTTATTTTTTTTTTTCTTCTTTTTCTTTTTCTTTTTTCTTTTTTCTTTTTCTTTTTCTTTTTCTTTTTCTTTTTCTTTTTCTTTTTCTTTTTCTTTTTTCTTTTTTCTTTTTTCTTTTTTCTTTTTCTTCTTTTTCTTTTTTTTTCTTGTCACAAGAGAAAAACACGGCATATACCCACAAAGAGTTAGGAAGATATTGACGTTGGGCATGTCAGTGGTACAAGCCAAGTTTCAAACAAGCGTTACACTTACTGATAATGCGAGATCGATTCTGGCAGGAAAGCTGTATCATCCTCTTAACAATATCACAGGTGACACTCATCTGCACAGTGCGTGTTGTGTAGATACAGTGCTATTTTCTTATAAACTCCATAATATATTTAGGTACTTTATCTATCATTAAAAAAAAAAAAAGTCATTTTCTTTTTGCTGCTACATAACAGACTTCAGTGTGTCAGGCTTCAGTAGCCTTTAAAATCTGTGCAAAACACACTTTGAGCCCTTATAGTGTTTATTTTTTCTGTTCATACAGGTCCATGAGGGCCTATTTAAAGACAGCCCTCTTACACTCTTGAGGAGTGTCCTGCAAGGCATAGCAGAGTCTATGAGAGGTACAGGAGGAAAATAAAAATTTGTATAACTATGTATTGGCTGGTGTCAACTAAAAACAATAGAGATGAATAAAAAAAAGTCTTGGTTTGTGTAACTCAGGTGCAGGAGGGAGAAACTCATACCCCATCCTGCTCTCTCTGCTGGTGGTTTCTGGGAAAGGGTCCCTGCTCACCATCCTTAGGAAATCAAGACCTCTAAGTGATTTTCTTGAAAAACAGATGCATTAGTAAGCTATACCTAGGGATCTATGCTCCTCCCTTCTCCTAGTGGACAAGAATTCACTGAATGTTGTTTTCCTTGCATAAACTGGCACATTCCCATGCAGTTGTTCTAAAAAAAAAAAATTTCCAGTAAAACACTGTTGTCCAAAAATAAAATACCCATCAGAATACAGTAACAAGGACTTCAATTTTCTTATCTTTTAAATACAAATTCTTGGCATTTTATTATTCTAGGATCCGATACAAAGAGTTTTAGTACCCTTTAGCCTATTACTCATAATTTAACCTCCTGCAGAACTTCCGCTGGAATCATGGAAGAGTTGGCTTTTCAAGGACATGGTGGTTAAAACATTGCTTACCTTTGTTGTCCAATTTACACCAAAACTGTTTCATTATTACTCCCAAAGAAGTAAGTTTAACTAAATAGGCGTCATTCTTCTGCCTCATGTTGCTGACTCTGTTGTGGAAGGATCTTGCATGGTCTCTGATGGGGTGAACAGATCAGCTTTTGTGAACAGCAGGTCCTGTTCTCCAGAATGAGTCCTTGCCTGTCTCCTGAGGGACAGGAGCATACAACCAGTGTGACAGAAGCACTGTCCAAACCCCCCCACTGCATGTGGAGTTATTTGGCTGCTAAAGCCCACAGATGAAATGTCAGTTCTGTGTGCTTTGCCTGTAGAGGAAAAGGGAGCTTTAGCAAGGAAAATGCTGTTAGGTTTGATGTCCCAAGTTATCTTTAAGTTAGCAAAATAAGGTCTGTGTTTAACTGACTGCTTTGCAGAGCAGTGTGGTGCCAGTCTTGAGGAATGGCAAATAGAAAGAGTAGTATTCCTCAGGGTAAAGAAAATAGTGGTACAAAATGTGACTTAAAATGTTGGTGTAATTAGCTTAGCTGAGTAGAATATTAAGTAAATAGAACAAGTATTAAGCTAAAAGCTCCTGTTGAAGGCATGAAAAGAGCAAGAGTTGTGAAATAAGAATTAATATTATTAAGTGCTGCCAAACATAAATGTTTGATTTTAGCCAGCTGGGATAGGAATTGACATGTGTTAAGCTGTACAAGGAGGAAGGTACCAAGGCACCAACATCCATCTAGAATTCGTTGCTTAGACTTTCTCAGTAGGCTGGGCAGTTAGTTCAGGACCTGTCTGGTAAGTGCTCCTGCCTCTCATCTAGAGGCTCACATTCCGGTTTTGGCAACTAGGCAAACAATTGGCATCATGCCTTTTAACTGCAAAAGTCAGATAATCATTGTGGGAACAAGGAGGGGAGAGAAGCATTTGGGAGGAGAAAGAAGGATGGACTGCTTAATCATGTTCATCTATGAATGTCATAGTCAGAAAAGAAGTAACACAGGCGTTGTTGGATCAAAAAAAGCCCTGAGTTTCTTCAGCCAGTGCCGCTCACTTTCCATTCTTTTGGTAGCAAAGTTATTTGTGCTGTAGCGCTTGGAGGCAGTCAGGGTTTACTGTGTCTGGGTTGATGCATAGTGTAGTGGACCAACTATGCATTGATGGAGGAGCTTTGGGCATCTCTCAGAATAACAAAAGGCCTCAGCCAGGCATTAGAGTAGGGAGGTGTCAGTTTCTCATCTTTGGATCCTTTAGCCTCATCATACGGGTGACACATCAGAACTGATCAAAGTGTCTGGGCACTGGTGTTCACAACCTTTGATCTGCCCTTTTGTGGTACATGTCTCCCAAACTCCTGGTTATCTTCCTTGACTTCTTTCTTTACAAGCTGAAGGTCTTTGTCTTGCCTGTGCACTTCTTTTGACTCTGTAGTGACTCTTCCATAGAGTTTTTTCTTGCTTTTACAGTGTTAAGGTCCAGAACTAATTTAATGGACCAGTGCAGGTGAATGTCCAAGCTTGGGACCTCAAAAACCTTAAACATTCAGTGTTAGAAAGGTGGCCAGAGCAAATGCATCCTGAAGCAACAGGAAACATCTCTTAGGTTACCAAGGAGTTCTGCTGGGAAGTTTGAAAAGAGTATAGATGTCTTGCTGATTCATCCATAGCTGCATTCAAAAATAATTAGAGTCATAGAATCATAGAGTCACAGAATGTGTTTGGTTGGAAGGGACTTTTAAAGGTCATCTAGTCCAACCCCCTTGCGGGTAAGCAGGGACATCTTTAACTAGATCAGATTGACCAGGTAAGATATGAGGTATAGGGTTGATTTCATGTGTCCAGTTCCCTTGAAATATATTTTCTTCATTCTTCCATGATTTAAGTGTTTTATTTATCTACACCCTAACAGTATATAATAGCCACTCCTTTTCCATGGCAACGCCTGTTTCCAGAATTTGCCATCTGGTATTTCATGTTTTTCTCTCTTCCCTTTCCTTTTTTTTTTTTTTTTTCCAGCAGCTCTAACATTACTCATTCTGCACCATTTTGACTTCAGCATCTGAGTGACATTTTCTTTATTGCTCATCAGAAATTTCAGTAGGTCTGTACTCTAAGCCTTCTGCAGATATACAGCTAATTAAGCTGGCTATATTCCTCTTTAGAAGGAGAGAGATGCTGCTTCATGTGCAGTATTAATGGACTGCAATATTCTTGCAGCTTTTGCTAGAGTGGTATTTATTTAGATGGTATGATTTTAATAGATTTTTTTTCTGACTAAAACTTTTAAACATCTGCTCTTTAGACAAAGTAAATGCCGTATGTGCATTTGAAAGACTAGGGAGCCAAAAACTTTTTCTGTAATTTAGCAGCCTTTGCTTATTTTCTCTATAGAAAAACCAGAAAATGCAAAAGTAATGTCATACACATAAAAAAAGGAGTGTGCAAGTGATTGCTAAACAGCGCTCTTTTGGTCCTCTTAATCTTTCTCTTAAGTTCCTTCCTATTGTCTTTTTACAGCTATTTGATCTTGCCTTTGCGTGTTTTTTTAATTGCTACCTGGGAAACTGCTGTCATGAGGGTGATACAGGCCCTCAGTGTGCAGAAGGATGCCGCTAGCAGTAAGATTGCTCCCTTGAACTTAGAGGAACAAGCTCTTATGCCAAGGAAGTTAGAATACCATGAGATGATTTCTGGCAGAACCTGTGTTTCGGCAAGAATTCCTGAAAGCCCTGGATGGCCAGTCTTTGGCCAGTGAAGGCAGCAGTGTCCTCTGCTCTGTCAAGTGTTGCGGAAACCCAGATCCCGTCTGGAGGCTGTAGTGGGCACTGCAGTTCCTGGACTTCCCCACTTTTTGTTTCATAGGGAGTTGTCATGCCTATTATTGTCAGACCAGAGAATTAAAGACCTAAACATTCAGCTGCCAAGAGTCATGTTGTAGATTAAAATACCATACAATTCAAAGATGAACAGAAAGCGTGCTGAAATTCTGACTTGGCAACAGTCACTCAGCAGCAGTAGAATTGATGTCCTCTAGGAGTCAAGTGGGTCTGAGTTAGGGTCCAGATTGTAGTTTTTTTTAAATAAGCAAAGATCTTAGACATGCTTTTAGTCTGTTCTGGAAAATGAAAACATTATCCACATTTTCCCCTCAATTTCTTTCTCTTCCTCAGCACTTAAAAAAAATTTAAAAAAACCAACATTAATGACAAGAGCAGAAAATTAGAAAATGCTTAGCTCAGTGCCAGTCAGTCCTAGGCAAAGCAATTAATTTGACCCCTCTGGTTTTGAACACTGTAATTACATTCCCATCAGGCTCTCACACACCTCCACAATGAACGAAATGACTAACTGTATTGCTAGCATGCTGGTACATTACAGGAATGCCAGTGGACACTGAAGTCTCTGCAGCTCTGCCTGTGTGTTACTTGAGTAAGAATTAATTATTTTCTTACAACTTACAAAAAGGGTGTGGTTATTCACTGGATTGTGAGTAGGTATTTCAAAATCACACTTGATAGTCAGGAAGAGCAAGTATTTCAATGCAAACCTATCACCTTTGCAGTAAGTGTGTAAAATCCGTTTTAAGGTATGCCTCATATTGCCTTCATGTAAAGCATGTAAAAATTACAGGTTTAAAGTATCTAACTATGTTTTCTTTCTTTTAGATTGTGTTTTTGGAAAAAACTGATCAGCAAGAGCAGCTGGCTAAGAAGTGGGGTTTCAAAGCGTCTGACATAAGAGAACTGAGTAACCAGTATGTGCTTTGTTTAGATTAATTTCAGCAAATACAGTTTATGCTCTGAACAAAGTAATGTGATCTCTGTGAATACGTTTTGGCAGGGAACACATTAAACCCAACCTCATGGGCAAAAGTCCCTTTTAGCTCTGTGAGAGCTCTTAACCCAAGAGCTGTCTGCATCCTGGATGGGACTTCGAGGGTTGGAAGGTCTATGTGCTTTTTGCATCCTTGGTTTGGGACTGAAGCCATGGCTGAATTGTGCTGGCAGATTTACATTGTACAGAACAAAATGCCATATTTAGCTTTCATACATGACCTCTTCTGGGTTTACAGAAGTAAATGGCATTCTTTCTTGAGATTACATTTTCTATTCATTTTGTTAGCAGTAGGCTATGCCTAACTAGCTCGAAAATCTACACTTAGTAAATGTAAGTAACACTAACACTGCAGATGAAAAGCTCAGTTGTTTGGGCTTTGACACTCTCCTTAATAAAACATAATAAAATTAGAAGATTTAAATCTTCTAAACACAGGGCCTTGGATTTCTAACCGTATGGCATTTCTTTTTTCTTCAGCCAATGAAATCTTCCACCTTTCTGGTGAAGAGAAATAGTTTTTGGATTTCACCTACTATTCTTTGCATGTAGCAGCACAACTATAAATGACTTTTGGCTTAGAATCTAGAGCTGGAGTGTCATTTTAGTGTTTAGTTGTTAAAAAAATCTGTATGGTTTGTTGGATGGATAATCATACAGAATATATGAGTCATCAGATGTTTTCTTCACTTGAAATAGCCTGAGGAAAATGGAAGGTGCTGGGAATATGGATCAGATTGAGAAAGATCTTTCAGCGTTTCTAGCATGCAAGAAAACAGGAAGAAGGGGAGCTACAAAGAGATGAAATCACTGTTCATTCAGTAGTCAGGGAGAAGGGCAGAGGAGTGAGAGAAATTTTAAACTGTATGGAGTTCCAGCACAAAATAAAATAATTATAGCAACTTCCTGGTAATGTTGATACAGTCATCCCTGTTATTGCAGAAACACGACATGACAAGAAACAGTATTACAGTTCCATTGTAAATATGCCTTTCCTGTGAATATATTGAGCAGAGATTTTCTTCAGCAGTATTTGTGTCTGCATTTGTAGACACAGTTCTTCCATTAAACCTTGAAATTCATTGATCGAATATATACATATAGACACATATACAATGTAGAGGAAAACTGGAATATAGAAAGTTAGAGTCTTCTGACTATAATGTCCTGGCAGCTAGAGGCATTCCAAATATATCCATACTAGGAAGCAAGACTGTGCTTAACCCTTCCCTTTTTCAGGTAGATTCTACAGTCGAATTGTTTTAGTTATTGTTAAGTCAGTTTGGCTTTATTTGTTGGTATTTAGCCTGGGTAAATATTACAGATAACTGGATTCATCATGCTCTTTTTCTCTCAGTTAGCTATGTATAAGGCCGTGTAAAAGTTATTGTTCAACTGCTTCATACCATAACAGGAGTATGGATAGAAGTACAGTAGGAGTTCATAGGCTGATCCTGAAAGGGGAAGGTTAATCTGTAATTGCCATTTGCTCTGGTGGATTTTGCTCAAATATACTGTTTAAAGCAAAACTACTTACTGTAGAAAATTTTTGACATTTTGGACTATTATAATTATCTTTTCTTTCCCTAGTGAATTCTTCATGCCAGGAATGGTTGATACACACATTCATGCCCCTCAGTATTCATTTACTGGCACAAGAGTAGATCTACCTCTTATGCAGTGGTTGACTACCTACACATTCCCAACAGAAGCCAAATACAAAGACAGCGATTTTGCAGAGGAAGTGTACACCAGGGTTGTTGTAAGTACTGCAAATGTCATTTTATTACTGTGAAATATATGCACGTTTTCAGAAGGTCAGCAGAAATAGTGGAGCTTGTTTCAATGTTGTGAAAACCAGATAAAACCAGCAGCATAACCACAGTTCTAATTGCCATCCAAGATTGTCCCCTACCAGTTCCAGTCTTATTCTGGACTTCTGGACTTATCAGTTTTTGCTGATAAGACAGGTCATTTAATCATATGGTTAACAATGAACTTGTTTATCGTCTTTTCTGGTATCTGAGTACAATGGCCAACATTTAAGAGTACTCTCAGAGCCAGGATAGCCAGCAGAAGCTGACAACCTCAATGCAGAAATAACCAAATATGGTAAAAAAAATTCAGAGGATGTTTCCTTTTTCTTCTGCAAATACTGTGAAAGAGAAGAATGCTTCTCAGTGACAACAAGTCTGGGGTGTTTTGGACTAATTAAGGATGATGTTTCTACAGCTGAGGTCCTTGTAGCAGGAATATCTTTCACTGCAGGGGCCTTAGATGAAGTCTGTCAATGGTATTGTGGCACAAAGAGGGAGACTGTGTTTGAGCTAGACTGGTTCTGAGCAATATAAAGGCTTTTGGGTCAAATTCCACTTGATAAGCAATAAGCAGCTAGGTCACATTGCAGAATACTGATTCTGTCCTATAACTGAAATGTATCAATGAAAGGAAAATATGTGGACTTCAGTGTCTTCAACAGATTAAATGATTTGGACAGCGTAAGTTGCCTTGCATTTGTCTAATACTGTGACAACCTGTTGTGAAAATAATAGCATAGTGAATCTGAAATAAATAGTTATACTGTCCTTGCCACTCAAATTTAACAAAAAAAAAAAAACCAAACAAAACTTTCTTCCAACCGCCATAATAAAAATATATAGGAACAGCTTGGTCATAAACTCTAATGACTTACATGCGCCTTCAGCTACTTAAAACATAGAGATGATCTCACCTTCCAGCTGTGTACCTTGACGTACTGTTACTGTCTTCACGAGTTCAGACAGGGTGACTTCTGCACAGCTACAGCACTCACGATGCAGGGTGTTTGGGAAAGAACTGCCAGTGAGAGGTGGAAGTTAGTTGTAGGAGCTCCAGCACAATGGCTAGGCTCTCCCCATGTGTATCAGAGAGGACAAGGTCAGGAAAATGTCTTCACCCCCAAACGCTGCAGAATACCAGTTGCTCTGCAAAGTTTGATGGGGCTGATAATAACCTTCAACTGTTAGAACAGGACTAAACCTACAGGGAGCAGATACTGTTTCATAGGTATCTTCGAACTTTTGGAGTTGTAATGAAAGTATAGTGAATTTTTTCAAATCAGAATTATGTTTCCAACAATCACTTTCTAGACCTGGTAAAAGAAACAAATTAGGTGTAATTTATCAGATTTTAGCTGGAACCTTCTCTGGCCCCTCAAATTTTAGGAAAGTCAATTCTTCATGGTGATGTTTTGGAAACTGAATGTTTTTAGATTTCATTAAACAATGATGTTAAGAAACCACAAGTAGAGAATTCTGGGGTTTAGAAGCTAAGAAAGACAAAGCTAGTTTGTCTCAGTAATGACATTGTTATTTGTGAGACTCATTTTAGGAATCCTTAAAGACATATTTTTAATTATTATCTTTGCTTTTAATATTGTATGGAAAAGACAGAGCTTGGTTTCATGTTTGTCAAATAATTAGCTCTAGCCATTCTCAAAAGTTCCATTGGATGTAGTGCCTTCTATCTCATTAAAAAAAAATAATAAAATTCTCAAATTATATTGTATCCAGAATCCAAAAATGTAATGTAAACTTGTATGTTGGATTGGTAGTCAATATAGTATGCATTAGTCCAAAGATCAAGTGAAGCTGTAAATTTCACTGTGACTTAATGCAACTTTAAATGATTCTTCATTTACTGTTATGTCCTCCAAATGTAGTATGAACAGGTATTAACCACTTTCTCTTTTCAAATGGTACAATTAAATAAATAATTAAATTATACTCTGAGCAGTTGGTCTTGGCTTACTTTTACCTTGAAGTTTGTTACTGTGTACTGAGGGATAACAAAGGGGGTTTTATACATTAAAGCCTGGCTATTTTTCCCAGCCACAACAGGTGGCCAAATGAAAACCACTACTTTTTCCCAAAAGCCTTGCTTTGCTAATGTTAGGTAAACAGTGCTTCACTGTGAAAATTGGAGAGCCTTTCAAAACTAGGAAATGACACATTGCTTGTATAAATTGGTTGCTTGTATTCTAAATACAGTCAGAATTTATTTCTAGTTTGAGTGAAGGAAATATAGACTAGTTTCTATGTGGTTATCCATTGTTAAAATCCTGTATGGATTTAGAAGGGATTTTTTTATGTATTAACACTCAGACTTAAAAAAGCTATTATGAAATTAAAAATCTATATTTTACCTTCCCACTTCACTGCACAATTTCACAATAACTAAATGTTCTCGCAGTTTGAAATCAGACTGCCTGTTCTACATTTTGGCAGCTTGACTATTTTTTTTTCCAGACAGTTGAAACTGATTTCTTTTTATAGAGACGAACTCTAAAGAATGGAACGACTACAGCTTGCTACTTTGCAACAATTTACACAGACACTTCTCTTCTTCTTGCTGAAATTATAGGTAAGATTAACTGAGTTTTGAAGGATGTTGTGCAGATGCTGTTAGTTGAAGGAAACAGAGCTTAGGAGGTTTAGGCTAGCTCGGGCTCTGTCTTTCTACTAATTTGTTTTTCATTCGTTGTATCTGTCATACTGTGTCCCCAAAATCCACCCTAGTTACCCATGTTCACTAACTGCCTCTCTTCTAGTGTTGTTTCTGCCAGTGTCTTCATTCCCAAATCAGCTGCCGGTTGAGCTTGAATTTGGTCTGCTGGAGGTGCTCTTCAGCTGCACTTCTCTGCTCTTTCTGTCCTTTTTCTATTTGAGGACTAAAGGGCTGAGTGACAAGAGGTGCAGTTAGTGCATTCATTTCCTGATACTCTGGAGTTTCAGTTAAGAATCAACATCAAAAATCTTCACACGCCCTCCAAAACCAGAACAGTGGGAGTTGTGTCAGGATCTCATCCCTCCCTTCTGTTCACCATTGCAAATGCCTGATGTTTGAAAGTGTTATGATTCTTGCAGGATTTCAAGGCTCAGCCAGCTCCCAAAGCAGAGAAATTTAATGAGAATCTCAGCTTCCATAAAAAAATTCCCTAGTCTTTCTGATTTTGTGGGAAAACCTGAAGCTTCGAAGCTGTTGTGTTCAACAACTCAGTAAAAGTGGGCAAAAGAGATCTAATTTAGAAACACATTTAAAAGCTTAGAAGCTTAGAATTTAATCTTATATGCTTTCAAGTCTTACAGGAGTTCTGAGTCCTAGCATGGATAAATCTCAAGAAAGAGGCTAGAAATAGCTCTGGTAATTTTCTTCTTCCAACTGCACTTGGGAAGTGTGTTAGGAACCCGATTCCTTTCTCTTAAGGAGTCAGCTTTGTGGCTTTTCTCCACTCAGGGTGATCATCCACTACAGCTACCATACTTTGAAGCTTATGTTTCTTAACCTCTACTTCACAGTGGTCTTCTACATATATTACCATTATAGATTCTGGTTGTGGCTAAACTATAGTAATCTAGTCCTCCATTACAGCATTTATAAAGTTGGCTACTAATGTGGAAGAGGACAACTCCTATTTAAATGAGTTTTTTTCTCTTTCATTTTTAGCCTTAAAAGTCACACGGATTGTCTCAAAGATAAGAGCATAGATTCTGTCCATCTTAAATGAAGCTGACTGGGGTGGAATTTGCTATTTTGATTTCAGTACAGGCTTTGGTAGCAGTTTTTGAGAACCAGTGATTCTGAGTTTTATACTCTTATGCATCTCAACAGATAAATTTGGTCAACGAGCATTTGTTGGAAAAGTCTGCATGGATATGAATGACAGCGTGCCACGATACAAAGAGATTACTGCTGACTCTGTCCAAGAGACAGAAAGGTAAGGTGATTAAACTGATGGCGCAACCTTTAGAAATAAGACTCTTTCATACATCTGAAAGGTGAATGTGAAGCTGACTAATAACTTACAAGTGTAAGTATATTAGGAACAGTTTTTTTCTTCTGACAGTATTGTTTCCTACAGTTCTGGCAATTCCTGCATACTCAGTTGCTGCACAGCCCAAGCGGTTTCTCTCTAGCTCTTCTAAAGAAAGGGAGAAGCTATGGCTCTAGGGTGTGGAGAGAATATGTGTGTGTTGTTTATTTTCTGCCTCCTCTTTTCCCTTCGCAGCTCTGTGGAGGGGATGTGACCTGACATGGGTTGGTGGGGTGGCAATCGGTTCCTTTGCCCTCATTAACTTCTGAGCTGTTTCGTTCCCCTGTTTAGGATAAAGCTTTATTCAAGTTTCAGGAGTCAGTTCATATGCCCCATTTTAAACATGCTGCGGTTCTCCTCTCCAGCACAGCACCAGTAAAAAATTACTCTAACTCGCAGTGGAGAGAATGAGGGGGAATCAAATCAGAGCAATGTACATGGCAGAGGGGACCCAAGACTGGAATCTTATGTTTACCTTGCCTTTTGCATCCATGCTCAGAAGGTACTTAAGCAGACATACAGCTTTTCTTATGGGACTATTTATTTACCTTCACAAATATTTCAAATATCATGCTGAAAGAAAAAATCCTAACCGTAATACAAACATCTTACAGCACTTGTGTGAAGTTGCTGTCTTATTTTTGCAAGTCATGCTAGAAGAATGCCAGTAAAAGTTAGAAATGGTCATGCCTTTCTAGTTGTGTTTGTATTTAAAGACATTTTTAAAACATGTAGCGCTGTACTAACAGCATGAGTCCTGCTGAATGGGACTGAAAGTGGCAGAACTTCCAGTTCTGATATTTTTTAAAGCTTCAGAATAATCTGAATAGCTTTCCTTTAAATACCTATCTTGTGCCTCTAACTCACTTCTCATGTGATTGTGCTAATAACAAGTGTTTCTCAGCCTCGGATGAGAGTGTGCCACAGGTACTCCAGAGCTGTCTAGAGAAGAGAGCTGTGTGCTTGTCAGCGTGAATCAGGAGTACTTGCCTCATCAGGTCTGAGCCACAGCAATACAATTGCAGAAGGGCAACCTTTTTTTTTTTTCTTTTTTTTTTTTTCTTGTTTTGTTGTTTTTTTTTAAACCTAAGAATGATCTGTCACACTGCCAGAAAATGTTTTACACTTATTTCAGTTCTTTACAGTTTACCTCCAGATGTATTTGTATTGTATGCATGGAAATAATATACAATTCCAACTGCTTCATACATTAAACCTGAATTCAAGCCAAGAATTTGAATCTACCTTCTCCTGTAAAGAGGGTTGAATAAAAAGTTAGGGAACTGAAATATAGAATATGTTATATGCTACTAATAGTAGTAGTCATCTGGAAAGAGGAGGCCACATTCAAATCTGTTCTGCTACAGAAGACAGTGGTTGGAACCTGAGCTTCTTTCCTCATAGAGAATTACATAACCCAACAAAGTATAGGGTATTTTAGTTTTGAAAAAATGCTGACACTCTTCAAAGAATGTGAAAAAGAATGAAAACAGCGACCCAGAGGGTTTGGATTATCACCCGAGCGTTATACTTGAGTTGCAGTTTCTACTCTAGTGAATATTTTCATTATTATATCAGGTGAATCAATAAGAGGAAAGTCAAACAGCCAACACCTAATTCACATTGCATTTTGGTTCTCAGAGTTAGACAATGGTGGTCTCAAACTCCTTTGGTCATTGCAGAAGTTTGGCTTAGATCTCTCACTTCCAGCAGGTGATCTAGCACCAGCTTCAGTGTTGTGAATCTAGCCTCCAGAGTTGTTTTCTTTTTCATCTGGAGATAATTGACAAATTTCATTCAGTTTTTGTTGTGACCAAAATTACATGTTTTTCTGAACATAAACCATGACATAAAAATTCAGAGAGATCCTGTCCAGAACCTATCTCAAACTGGCTTTGGAAATTATTTGCATACACTGTGCATATGAGTTCTCAAAGAATTGCTTTCCTGAAAAGTCAGAGGATGTTTTGTTTGCTGATCTGCATTATCCATATTGATTGCTTGGGGTTTTTTTTGTAGAAGTGCCTGAGGTGGCTTCTTTTATTTAACAAAGTAGGTAAATCTATACTGTGTTTTCCATAAGGTAGATAGTCTACACGCTAACATTAATATAAGCATTTTCCAGAAAATCAAGGGTCCTTTAAGTGAATGGGGACGTATGCGACTACTGTAAGTGAGGTATGAAATGTTGCAGCATCTTTTGAAAGCAGGATTTTAAATAATAGAATATATTTAATGCTGTAATTTAAATTAATGGAAAATTTAAGTGTTTTTTTTTTCTCTAGTGTTGCAGTTGTAGCTCATAATTATGTTTTCAATGAATTTAATGTAACATGTACTTGGTTTTCAGTGAGACCTCAGAGTAATTACCACATGTCTAATGTTAATTATTGCAGATGAAAAAAATTCTGCATATTCAGGGTCCAATTCACAACTAGCATAATTTGGTGTAGCTATCCTGACTTCATTGTGTACCTTCTTTTTATTTCATCTGAGAATCTGGCCCAACTTTCTTTCAAAAATTAATCCATGTCTGAAATACTTAATAGGTTATCTAAGTAAATATTTTCTATATTTTTCATAATTCATAACATAGATGATAGATTTATAACAGATTTTTTTTCCTACCCTTTTTCAGGTTTGTTAAAGAACTACTGGAAAGGAAAGTAAGTAGAGTTCTCCTTTGTATTCACTTCTGTATTCAGAAGATGCTGTGTGAATATATGAAATAGTTAATCCCGCTGACAAACTGCTGGCTTATTGACAAATCAATAAATACACATCTTTCTGTGCATTGTAAAGATATCGTCAGTCTAAAAAATGTTCTGCTAGTGATGTTGAGAAAGGGACTCAGTGTAATTTCAGTTTCACATGGTCAGAGCACAGCAGAGTAATGTTCTGTGCATGTTCTCTATTGACTTAAAAATACTTGGCTTCCTAGAAAGGACAATTTTATGTTAAAGAAGAGTGGAAGTCAGTTGATCACTCTGTAGTATATGAATAGACTAAAAAGAAGTTCTCACCAGCAGAACTCAGTGTTTTTACAATACATTTACTAATCCATTACCAAATTAGTATTTCGGGACAGCACATGTCTTCCAGTGTGTTTGTAAATAAATTAGGTTTATACTCCTGAGGTAAAGACAGAGGTTTACACTCCAGTATTACAAGCAGGTATACTTTTCTTATCAGCATTTTGTTTTCAATGGCTTAATTTGTTGACATTTGTATCTCAAAATACTCAAGAACAGATGCCTAGAGTTTAATGCCTGAATCATATGTAGTAGAGTAAGTTGGCTAATCTGCAGAAGTCCTGAGCTTTGTGTATCTGGGAGATGGTATAAGAAACTGCAAACCAAGTTAATCACATGCTGTCTTCCAATGATGCCCTATACACAACTATTGCCTGTGACGGAAGGCAGAGTTGTAATGCCATTGTCTTTTTTTAATGACAATTTTAATCGAGATGTGCAAGGTGTAAAGTAAACATCAATATCCCTAGTCTTGGTGTCTTCTCCACTGCTTCCTACCATGTAGTGTATCTGGTACTACCACTAATCTTCCTGTCTGGGGGGTGTATGGACCGTTCATTTCTGTCATGACTGGAGAAGACTGAACAAGAAAAAGGCTTTGGTTTTACAGAACTCTACAGTTTTGCATGGTTATGTCTTTGTCAGTCATAGAAGTGGTACTCAGAAAAACATCTGGTCATTCCTCTGACTTATTTCTCATAATGCATACTGGACTGTCAGCAAATAGGAAAAACAACCAGTGCTTCTCCTGAAGTCTGGTAAAATCTCAGTGACTTGATGAAGGACTTCTAATGAAAGTAACTTCTTTCCTAAGGTTCATTAAAACTGCTTTCAGAAGAAAAAAATGATTCTCTATTTTTGTGGTTAAATTTCTAATAAAAATTAGGAAATTACTATATAGTTTAATTTGAGTTGGCAAGGATGCAGTAAGCAGTAAGTGATGGAGACAAAATGTAATTGCTGTGTAAATGTTTGTCATAATTATGGTTAGTGATATATAGATGTAGAATCCCAAGCATGTCTTTTTAATATTTTCAGTATCCAAGGGTACAGCCTGTAATAACCCCCCGCTTTGGCCCTTCCTGCACAGAGGATTTGCTGTCTGCACTTGGAGATTTAGCACAGGCTCGTGATCTCCATGTACAGGTAAGGTCTGAGAGCTCTGCACAGAATTTAAATAGTCTGGATAGATAGCATACAGCCCAGGGATTTTTCATAATTTCAGCAAAGCACTTAAACCGCATTCTTACCTTGGAGCCTGTCTTTTAAATTCCTCTGAAATTATCAGTGGTACTCTGAAAGAACACTGTAACCTGCACAGGAAATGAGAAGGCTCGTAGCTGGAAGGATGCACAATTTAGCAAGTCCCAGCCCATGGTCAGTAGGAGAGCAGCAGCCAGTATGGTAGGTTAGAGCAACCCTTGGGTTGATAAAGGTTGCTTTCCCTGGTTCAAGGTTGTTACGTCAACAATTACTCATCATTGTATCTTATTTAACATTCTTAGCATAGCTGTAGGATTTCCAGTGTCATGAAGTTTCTGTATTTAAAAAAGACATATTTTAAAGCTTACAGGACTGTTGGAACTTTGAGGTGTTCTTTTTTTGGTTACACAGTTCTAAGCAAATACTGTTTTAAGGCTGTGCTACATTAGGATTTTTCTGCCATTGCAAAATAGGCATTTTGAAAATATGTGCTCCAGTGGGAATATTGGAGGATCAGATTTTTATCTGAGACTGGGAATTATTCAGCCTATCTGAAGATACAAGGAGCAGCTATATAGCTGTTGCCCTGATCCCAGGGTCCCCTGTGTGGTATCCTTGTTCTCTCTTCTACCTCCCAGTCATATGTATTATTTTGTTTATTATTTTAACATTTGCCAAATACCAAGTGTGCCATTGTCACCAAACTCCTGGGATGGACTGTCCAGGCATACCATCTCATATAACTTCTAAAGGAACAAATGGAACTCTTTTGAGTTCCAGGGACCTCTCCAATGAAAAGAGAATCCCAAGGACTAGATCTAACTGTAGGCTTTACAACACTAGTTCCTATCATTATATCTTTAGCAGCACTGGGTTGCTCAGAAAGTTGTAATGTCAGGTTTAATGCTGTTTAAAGCACTCATTGCTCTGTATTTTCTTATTGCAGAGTCACATAAGTGAGAATGAAGAAGAACTCAAACTTGTGGAAAACATGTTTCCTGCCTACCAGAATTACACTGAATTGTATGACAAAAACAAGCTGCTTACCAGCAAGGTAGCTGCATGAAAACTCCCACAGCATAGCCTAGATTTATCCCCATAGAGAATATGATGGTTAACTGTAGTTACCTGAAAAGTTTGTATGTTTTTGTCAAGGTTAGTGACATCTTGGGGAAAGTAAATTTGTTTTATGTTCTCTGTTACACAGGTGTTGGTCAAGATTCTGGAACTTTAGACAAGCCCACACTATTCCTAAGAATTTTAGGGGAAATGAGCAATAAAGGCATTTTGTGCTCCCTGATTGATTTTCCAAGGGCTCCAAAAAGAACTGGGGCAGTGGGATCAGAAGGAGATTGAGTAGAGCTGGCATTGTAGGAGGTGGTAGTTCTTGGGCAGTACCCAATCACCCTTATATTACAATGTTCTTGCACATTGCTTTTGCCTGAAGATTTATTCTATGATGTTATGGTAGGACCAACTTCATTTTTTTGGCAGTTTCCTACAGAAAATCAGCTTGTCCTGTTGTGTTCTGTGTGTGAACCTCACATACAGGCAGGTACACTCTACTGTTCCGACTGCCCAAAAGCACTCTCATCTCATTACCTGATTATAGCAAGTATTGAGAGGCACACCAGCTTTATGCTGGTGAGATAAGTGCAAGCAGATCAGATACCAGCCCACACCAATTACAGGTTGGAGTGCCACGGCTCATCTTATCAGACAGTGGAGAGCCCATGCAAGAGTGAATATGAACAGCAGGGCGCTTAAGCATCAGTCAAATCGATTTAAAATTTTAAGAGAGAATTTTCAGAGTTACAAAGGACAGCTGGGAACTTCTTGGGATTTGGCTACTGAACTCGCATTTCTGTCTTCAAAAACGTACCCTAGTAAATAATTTATTTATTTACAGTCCTTTTTACCTGAGAAATCAATATGGACTACTTAAGTATGTACACAGTATTAACTTTTGTTCTCTTGCATAGTCCTATGCACACTGATTTGTTGCTTCAGTGTACCAAAGAGGATATTGGTGCTGCAAAAACAGGTCTTAATTCTGTCAGACTTTGATATGCACAGCACTGAAAATGGGCACTGAAAATGCTTTCTGGTACCAGGCTTCTGATTGTTTGGGGAAGCATTCAATGAAACACAAACATAACAAAACCGCAGATCTTCGCCCCTCCCAAACCACCAAAAGTAAGACACCATATATTTTTTTTAATGTTTCAAAAATAAGTTTTTCAGAGCTGTGGCTGAAATATTTCCTTCTTTTTTAAAAAGAAGTGCAAATCAGCAGAGATATGGTCCAGCAGCTACCATATGTGTGTCCTTAACTTAAAACGTGTCTATTGTCATTACATTTTCAGTTACATTTGAGCTTGATGAGTAAAGACAGCAAGGGTACAGTGCTATTAGGAGATGCTCAGTGGAAGCAGTCCCTGTGCTGCTCTTATTTTTATCAACAGATGGCAAGGCCTAACAGAGGTCTTGCTCTTCTCTTTGACTGGGCATTTGGCATATAAGGTAATTCCAAGTAGATTTGTCTGGTAATAATTGGTTTATGTGCTATTAAATGATACTATCCTATACTTCTGTGTTTTGTGTATGCTGATTGTGAATTTATTTTTAAAATCAGGTTGGAAGGCCAAGAAAGACATGTCATTAATCAGTTCCATAACAAATTAGATTATTTTAATTAACAGATAATTCATATCTATGTCTCTACCTGGTCCAAACCTTTAAAGAGACAATGGGAAACATGCTAAGAGTACATACATCTTCCGTTTTATCTGACAGTATTTAATCTCTGTGTTCTTATTGTATCTCCCAGTACTTAATCTCTCTGTTAGCTACAAAATATAAGTCATGAGGTTACTATAGTGCTAGGGCAACTGGGGAATTCTTGCTTTTGTTCCTGGAAGCTCTTTGGTCACAGCTGTCACTGCAAGAGTCAACAGCACCCTATCTACTTACATTAATAAATGAAAAAGAGCTTAGAGAGTGATATGTCAGGCATACTGAAGTTAATGAGTTTCTTCCTTGTTGATTTCAAGGGTGTCATTCGAGAAGCGCTTTAATTTTCCTTGATGTAACAGTTGTCCTTTTGGCTATTAAAAGCAGTGCAGCAAAAATCACAGGCACTGAAATAAATGCAATGTTGAGTTAATTGCTGATTCTGTTTCTCTTTAGACAGTGATGGCTCATGCCTGTTATCTTTCCGAAGAAGAGCTGAAACTTTTTAGTCTTCGTGGAGCTGCAATTTCACATTGTCCCAATTCTAATTTTTCGTAAGTTAAAAAAAAAAAAAAAAAGGTGTACAATTTATTAAAGCTGTTGTAGCTGTTGTTCATATAGTACCCTGAGTCTAGCCATTACAAGGTTATGTATATGATACCCCGTTCCACAGAAGTGACATATTGGATTAAGAGTGACAACTATTGCTCCACTTCTGTGTGGTAAACTCTGGACTGACTTGTGATCGTCCAGTATAGTCATCTCTCTCTCATTCTCTCTCTCTCTCTCTAGATATATGTGTAAAATGTTCTTTTTTGTTAAACTTTATTTCTTCTGACTGCTTTACCAATGGCAGATTCAGGCCATCTCCCATCCCCTCAAAGTATACATATGTTTTGGGGAAATGGGAATGGCTATATAGTTATCTTTTTGTTAAGCAGAAATAAGATACTGTATGGTATCCAGACAAGATACTGTACTGAAAGTTTCCAGTCATTTTGCCTTTAACATAATCAATATCTTGTTTGTGGTGACTTACTGCTACTCATGAAATGACCTCCTGTCTTCTGCAATATACTTTATATCATATTTGGATTTTTTCACAGTTATATTGAGAGCTCATTTTCAGGACATAACTATACAACTATGGGAGTTTTTAACTGAGAAAAAAAGGCCTTAATTTTTAGCGATTAAACTGCATCTTTCATGTGTCTGAATGCAAATGTTCTATCCCAGTTTAATAAACCCAATCTATTGCATGTGTTCTGAGAGCCTTTGTCATGAAGCAGCTCTGAAGCCCCACTCTTCCTGTACTTTCTCTGCACGTCACACAGAACCCATTTCTTTTTCCACTCCAGGTTGCGCAGCGGTGTCTTGAACGTGCAAAAGGTTCTGAAACACAATGTAAAGCTTGGACTTGGCACAGGTTAGTAGTGTTCTGTAAAAACGGTTACTTCTGCAAACCATTGAGATACACAAAAGCATGCCTACTTGTTTGTATCAAAAGCCACCATGTCTTCAGCTCATGGACCTGCTTTTTTTCCTTACTGCTTCTAGAGTAATGAAGTCTACAGTACTGAAACCTAGAGCAGGCCCAAAACTATTTAAAAAGAAAGCTGAAAATGAATCAAGAGAATTTTGTTCCTGTCATGAGAGTGAACAGGGCTTGAATAACAGCTTTTAAGGTTTCTGTTATTCTGTGTTATGTTCTATTTACCTGACTTTGTACGTGAGAGCACCTTTATTAGTAATTATACATTCAGAGACAGTGTTTGGCAGTGAAACTTTTTGTGTTTATGACATCTGCCACATTGTAACATTTAATTAAAGCTCATAGAAACTTAACCTAGAGAATTGTTCCCAAATCTTGTTTCTAAGAGCCTCATCTCTTCTAGATGTTGCAGGTGGATATTCGGCTTCTATGCTTGATGCCATCAGGAAAACAATGATGGCATCCAATAGCCTCCAGATCAACAAAGTGAATGAAACAGGACTAACTCTTGAAGAAGCTTTTCAACTAGCCACTCTAGGAGGAAGCCAAGGTAAGAAGAAATTTCTTTAGGATGTACACAGAGAACTCCAACTCTTTTTGATGTTATCTCTCCCTGTCTTTAAATGGTGGCTGAATTCACAGATTTTCTGGTGCCAGAGTGAAGTCTGAAATGTCCGCTGGGCTAAGATATCCTTTGGTCTCTCATACCCATACCAGGCTCATTACAGAAGAGTATTCCTATTGATATTGAGAGTTTAATAATAGAATCTTAATGATTTTTCAGGGTTGTACATTTTCTTTGCAAAGTTCCTCAGACTTCTTAGTCATTAGTACTTGTATGTTTGTCATGCCAATTGGAAAGACTTTATTTTCTCAGCACCCAGCATTTAGAGAAAAAGCTGTGCAATTACTATAAAATCATGCATCCTGTTTGTCATCAGTTTCTAATTTGGTTCTGCTTTTTGAACTCTCAGTGAAGCAGTTTGTCACTACCTTTCTAGCAAATCAGAACATCATAAAAATCACTCCTCAGAGAAAAACAAAGCATTTAAACAGGTTATGCACCATGGTTGTTTAAGGCACAGTTACATCTGCAAAATATACTGATGTGGTATATTGGTTATTTTGGTTCACTAGCATGTTTTGTCATGAACAGTATGCACACGCTGATTTATACAATTAACAAAGTTTTCTTGGAACTTTTATGATTTAGCAGAGAGCGAATCCACACATAAGTAAAAATTTATTACTATTTCAGTTAGCAGAATTGAGCTCACTACCTGCTGAAGATGTGGCAGTGTAACATTTTTGTAGTTGTCAGAAAGACCCATTGGGAACTATAAATGGAAGTTTGAAAGATGTAATGAAAATATCATCAAACAGGTCTTCTCAGGAATGTATTTGAATTTCTGGAGGGAAATGGGGAATGAATGGGGAATTTCTGGTGGGAAATGGGAAATGAGCGGGGAAATAGAGAAGGCAGAAAATGGGGAGGGGACCAAAAAGGAGAGGTCTTTTCTGCCACAGTGTGTACTCTTCCCATAAAAGTTTAGAATAATTTGCTGAAATACAGACATGAAAGCTTATAAAAATCCTAAACTTATGTTTGGTTTCTCTTCCTGGCTACTCTTTTGCTTTTTTTGCCTGAGTTCTTAGGCTTACTTAGTAATGTCGTTATTGTATATATTGATTTGGAACTGTTTTATCCTTACTGAATCAGTTTCAAGGATAGAATCTAAATTACCATAACAACCTGCAGTAACCTGGACAAATACAATTTGCAGAAATTTAAGTGAGTGGTGCTTCGTTGCAGTAATTTGCTTTGCTGAGACTCCTAATCGCTTGTCACCCTCTTGTGTTCAATCTAAAAATTGCATTCTACTCATCAACCCGAAGGAGTATGTGATCTTTTAGTTGAAACTGATAGGTAGCCAAACTATTTCACCATTTGGAGGAGTTTAAACATCTTTAAGGTATTGTGAAATTCCTGCCATACGCAAACATTACTGAAGGCTGAGGTTCCTTTGTCATACAGGAGCAATCTGAAAACAAGTGAACAAATTAATTGCAGATATTATCCCCTTTGATAACTTAGTTCAACTCCAGAGTATTGGAAAAGTCGATTTAATATACAGATACTTTGTGCAACTTAGAACTATCTTAAATAATTTCCAAGGAGACACAAAGGCCTCTCACCAAAATACACATTTTTAACTGAGAAGTTGCTTAAGAACTCAGATGCTATAATACTCACTGTTGAATTTCCTTTCATATTATGTAATTATCTAAATCCTTGTAGTTTTTCTTATGAACATCTCAAGTAAGTTGCCATGTGCTTCCACATGGTGGATAGTGGCTTGCTTTGAAGAGATGTTTGTGAGTTTCTTTTCTTCCTCAGCTCTAGGATTAGACGACGTGATTGGAAACTTTGAGGTCGGCAAAGAATTCGATGCACTGCTAATCAACACGAAGGCTTCAGACAGCCCCTTTGACTTATTCTCTGCTGATAATTTTGAGGTAATTGGAACAGGATTGGAACACAAAAAATTACTGGAAATGATATGGGGAAGGTCCATGACACAGCCAGAATAAGTCTTTTGAAAGTTATTCCAGTAGCAGGAATTGGGGGTGCTACACCACTGCTGTCTCTGTTTCAGCCCAAGAGGTTTGGTGGTTGGGTTTTTGTAGAATCTTGCTGTCCTTAGCAACTGGCCCATATCCCCATGAGCAAAAATGCATGTGACATCTTTAATGCATGTTTTTTTAGCCCAAGCTGACAATTAGAGTTAGCTATTTGCAGTGACAAATGGCAGGCAAGAAAAAGCAATTCAGTTTTCGTTAACACTTTGACTTCAAACTCAAAAATGGCAATGGGTTCCCAGATAAAGGCTAGGTTGCCTTAACTGCGCTGCTATTGTAAACACAAGACAGCTAATTTGAGTTGAAAGCACAGTTTTCATGCTCACGTGTAAGCAATATTGGTGTTATGCAATGGGCACACCTTCTCATACAAAAAACTTTCATGAGTAAAAAAGGTAATGAGCAATAGTTACTTGAATTGACTGCTGTTGCCAGCCTGTCTGTCACCATCTCTATTCTGAATGTCACCATTTACTTAGAAATGTGGTTATAAGTGGTGAAGTAATTTTTCCTTAATCTGTTTCAAACACAATAATCTGGATTAGATGAAATTCTTTAATTTTTAAATATTCTTCCTAATTTAAATAATTCTGGAAATAAATATTTTCCAGTTTAAGTCTAAATCTTTTTAGCTAATTTAGCCGTTCTTAGGACTTTAAAAATGCTTACAATTTTGTCTGATTTTTCAATAAGTAAATGAATTGAGCACTCTAAAAATGCGGAAGGGGAAGTATTGTGTTTTAGGTATATATTTGTTTGTACTTGTGCAGTTTTCTCGCTGAGACATAAAGCCTCCTTACTGAAAATTATTTATGAGAAAACATGCAAATTAAGTTTTGAATTTGCTGTTGGTAGGAATATTTGGGAAACCTATTTTTATCAAGTCTTTCACTCTTCAAATAATTATGATCTGAATTGCGATAATTATTAATATTCAAATAATTAAGATACTGCTTTCTAAATTTTATTTTCTCCCATTTTTTATAGGACACTCTGCAGAAGTTCCTGTATCTAGGTATGTTCTGATTCTCAGCATACATGAAATTCTCTAGCTGATTCATACATCAAAAGTTGCGTAAATTTATGTGGAGGTTAATAATAAATTTATTTATACATAATTAAATATACATTTGTTTACAGTAATTAAATATATTTATTTACATTATTTATAAACATGAGTATGTCACCATTTATTAATGGTAATATTTATTTACATTCATTAATTATACCTTTACTTGCATTTATTAATATTTGTTTATAAATGCTGACTAATATTCTAGCAACTTAACTTTTATGCTGTAGGACATAGTTATAGAGTCAGTTTAACACAGAACCACAGAATTGTCTAGGTTGGAAGGGACCTTTCAGATCATCTAGTCCAAGCATCAACCTAACACTGACAAAAACCATCACTAAACCCTACCTCTAAGTGCTATGTCTACAGACTTTTAAATATTGCCCACTTCCCTGGGCAGCCCATTCCAATGTTTAATAACTCTTTCAGTGTAAAAACGTTTCCTAATATCCAACCTGAACCTCCCCTGGCACAGCTTAAGGCCATTTCCTCTTGTCCCATTGCCTGTTACTTGGAAGAAGAGGCCGACCCCCGCCTCGCTACGACCTCCCTTCAGGCAGCTGTAGACAGCGATGATTAGATGCACCAAGTTTGTCAGATTTATCACCACACCTATCTTTATTTACAATATGAGTTAAATCATATTTCACAGTAAGGTGACACTGACATGCTAATCACCATTTCAGAACCAGTTTGGCTCAGAGGGACTTCTGCAGAGCAGTTGCCACTGTGCTTTTTTCACTCCCACACAAAAAGCACAGCGTTTAAAAAAACCCACAAAACTAAAGCCCAACCCAAAGCATGCTACCCCAATAAGAGAACAGATACTCTTTATACGGCATCGTCTGGACCAGGAGATATTTAAAAGACTTGTAGACGCGGTGCTGAGGGACGTGATTTAGTGGTGGTTTTGGCAGTGTTAGGTTAACGATTGGACTCGATGATCTTAAAGGTCCCTTCCAACGTAGACGACTCTAAGAGCTGTGCTGCCTCTTGTGTTGTTGTGCAGAGGTAACTGGTGTTAGTTCTGGCTATGTTTGTGTCGTTCTCTAATTAGGCTTTTGCCTTTTTGAGATGCTGGCTGAGGCAAACAAGCTTCACTGCTGCTTGATACCCGAGTTAGTTCAGGCAAAAATGTGTTTTCTGTACAGAAATATAGTATTTTCAGGGTTTGCACCTACTAAGTGTATAGAGAACCCATGACACCATTGCAGCAGCTGAATGCTAGGTTTATTTCTTAAAAAAAAAACAAAACAACATGGGTAGTTTAAGCATTGTTCTTTGTTGTAGCCGTGACTATTTCTCTCCAAATAAACTTTCTCAGTCCTAGGAAATGGTCACTGCAAATCATGTATTCCAAAAATGATTTTGTGGATTGCATAATTTTCACTAATTAAATCAATGCATAGATTTATGTGCAAATCTCTGGTTTTGACCATGTTATTTCAGGTGATGATCGGAATATTTCTGAAGTGTATGTGGCTGGAAAGCAAGTGGTACCTTTTTCAAGTTCAGTATAAATCGATTTCCCTTTTGCAAAATGCTCTGCTAATCATTCTGCATCTGATTTGGAAGATTGATTGAACACAGTGCCTGATCATCAGGAATGACACCTCATTTTTGTTCAATGTTTTAAAACTTGCAAACATTAGAGATTTTGTTAGACCTGTCAAGAATTACTTTACCAAAATTGTCACAGTTCTAGAGCAATGAGATATTTTCCTCTGTAAAAATAGCATGTGTGCATTGATAAGGGATTAATTAAAAAGGACACCTGCGGTTCCTTTTAATAATACTATAGGAAGCATTATGAAAGCTATGAGACTCTCATTGTCTATAATGCATCTGAATTTTTAAAAAGGCCAGTGCTAGTAAATTGATTTTGCAGATAATGGGTATCACAAAAGAATGCAATTTTCCATAATATTATCATCAAATGTGGAAAAATCAGTGATGTTTTAGGGCACGTAGAACCTTTTCCAGTTTTCTTTTGGAGCTTATTTTTTTAAAGTTATTATTTCATTTAAAGCATTATTTTTCTTAAGATAAATTAGATAAGAAGTGTGTATTTATAAATAAATAAGGGTCCTTATTATCAAAGAGTTCGGATTTGTCGTTTGAGGTCAGACAAAAGTGAACCGGTGGAAGAACGGAGTAAGAAATGGGGCGTGAGGCTGGGAGAGCAGGCGGGCTGCATTGCTCTGCCATGCTGTCAGCTGAAACTGCCTTTCCACAGGTTTTTGTTCTCAGATCTAGAAGTGGTCTGCCTCGTCTTCCACCGATTCCATTTAATTACCTCCAGCTGAGCAACAGCTGAATTAAAGTTGTGTTAAATTAGAAGCAGGCACTAAAATACCTGAGCAGACTACTCCGTGACAAACTAATGAAGGAGGTTTTTCTGGGCTAGAGGGAGTGCTTCATCTAGCTCAGCCTCCAGCAGACCCTTCCCAAGCTCATTTGCTCCTGACTCTTCAGGCAGGATGATAGGATGTCACTTCTCCCTTCTGTAAGGGATGTGAGTGGGTTTAAAAAAAATCCAAAAGAAATGGGCCATCTGTGTCGATTGCCACCTTTGACTTGAGGTGGAAATCATCACTGGAAAAAGCAGCTCCGCTTTAACGTGGTCTTTTGCATCTTTCAACGTGGCAACCAAAATTGCAGCCCTGTACAATTCCAGGTAAAAAAATGTGCCCTTTTTGTTTTGGACATCTGTGTGACTTCCTTTCCTAAAAAATTAATTCCCTTACTTTTGATTAGAGACCATTCTTTTTTGTGTGTGTGTGTGAGATTAGTTTGAGGAAGAGGTTTTATCTTGTTACTTTATTACATTTTTGCAACACAAAGGATGTAAGCTTTAATTTCAGTGTCAGTAGAGACAATATTGTATTGAGTTACTATAAACATGTGTTGAGTAGGGTTTTAAGACCTGCTTCAAACTCCTTTGACTTCACTGAGCGTTGTTCCACACCCTCATCTTGCTGCTTGGTGATACAAAGGCAGAGGACTTCCCTCTGGTCGCAAAACAAGGGAGGTCACTGCACCAAAGTCTCACTTCATGTCTACTTCTGAGAAGGTGCGCAGCCCAACGTCACTGATAACTTTCTGCTTTTAAAAGCATTTTTAGATCTTATGTACCCTTATGGTTGCACGTACATGAGACAGCATAGTATTAAGTGGAAGTGTAAAAGCTAGCTTAGGCACTTAAAGCAGTACAGTGTTTTCAGTGGTTTTTTTTTATTTTTATTTTTTTTTCTGAAGCTGAGTAGACCTTCTGAGCAGCAGGGGATATTGGCTCGCACTTGAGTGCAGCTACGTGGCTTGCTCATGGAGAGCTAGCTCAGGTATCTTCACAGGCCACCACACTGTGCCTTCTGCTTGCAGAGGTACAGCCTTCCTATCCATTATGTTCAGTGATTCCTAAGGCTTTAGGAGTCAATATTTAAGGATTAAGATTTCCACATTCCATCAGGGTGTTTTCTTAACCGTTCTGTTTTTCCTGTGTCCCAGTCACCTACACAGTAGCACACTTGCTTGGCAAATACAATCTTCAGCTCTTTAACTTGGTTTCCTGATTCAGGGAAAATTTTTCCTCATGAATTTTGACATGAATTAAATTGACCAAATTTCATGTTCCAAAACCAAAGATCTGTGAAACACCTGTTTTAACCCTCCCGTTACTGTTTGAAACTATTTTTAGGGAGTTGCATGATTTTCAGCTTTGGCTTTCCTGCAAGAATGTTTTCTGGAGTGGAGAAAGACTACGCAGCTTTGTGTACAATGTATGTGTTTGCCCTACTTCTCCACTTCCAGAGCTATGAATTAAATCAGTGCTTCTATTTTAGTGGTAGTCTTAACTGTCTCTGGCTTCATTGTTTTCCCACTATTTTGTAGTGTTGTTAAGAATGGGATTTAAGCATTCCTTCTTAAAAGATTTATGGGTTGCGTATTTGCAAACTGGGAATACAGAAAAACCTTAACGAGTTCAACATCATACTCCTGGCCCAGTTACGAAGGGACTCCCTAGGATAACTGCTGCCAGTGAGGATTGTATATGAACATTGGCTGCATCACGAGCAGTTTGATTCTTGCTAAATTCTGGCGCAACGCAGGAACTTGGCCTTTTGATTATAGCTTCGCTAGTGTCTAGTACTCAGCCACTACCCAGACTTAGAAGCAGAGAATCAACTTTTTAAGAATCTCTGCTGGAGGAGGAGCTCTGCCAGCGGGTAGTGCTGTGCACTGCCTGCACCACCCTGCCGTGCCCCAGACTGGGAGAGCAAAGACCAAGATGAGCAGCATCACACTAAATGCTGAGATGATTAGGGGTAAAGGAAAGAAGCCTGAATTTGATGTGAGAGGAAGTCTCATATAAATAAACTGGTAGGTACTTTCAACAGCAGCATCTTAAGTAGAATTGAATGGAAAAGGGCTGTAATGGCAGAAGAAAAAAAAAGTTGAAGTGTGGTCCTCTGAGGTAGTCCCAAAAGCCTGTTTTGCTGAAAGATGGCTTAAGCCCAAAAATTTTAAGGTTTTAGGATATACAGAGGATATAGTAGCCACAATTCACTGAAGCAACTTTGGGAAAGTCCCTGAGGATCCCATTGGGAAGTTTCAATCCTTGGGACTCTCTGGCTATGTGTAGATTGCCAAGATACTTGGTGTAGTAGGGGAGGATCAGTCAATGAAAGCTGAGACTCATACATCTACACTCTATGTGGTTTAAGACTACGTACAGTCTTTTTGCTTAGATAAGTGTTCCCACTGCATATGCAGTTTGAGGCAGGCCAAATAATTGGTTCAGACTCGTAATATCTCTTTTAGAGGCTGGAGTACATTTGTCATGCAGCTGGGCCTGCAGTGTGATTTCCTCCAAAATAAACTTAATCCTTTCGTATCAAAACCACCTCGCAAACTGAACCAAGGTTCAATAAGAGAGGATGATTGGGAATTCACTTTGGAACAGCACCAATGTCACAAACCAAAATGCTAATGAAGGCTAGGACTTGGACTATTCCCCCTCCATCCTCATTGTCATAGAACTTAGTGGCTGAAGACAAATTAAAGCAACCTCCATCCCTCTTTCTCTTGCTTCAAAAAAAAAAAAGGCAAAAAAATAAAAAAGCAAAAAAAAGTACAACAAACAGAAAGCAAACATAAAAGTTAGCCAGCCAGACACTAAGGGGAGATGAGTAAGTGGAAGAAAAGAAAGGGATAATTTTCAATCAGTATCAATTGACACAGTGCTACTGACCTAAGATAAAACCTCTGGAAAAATGTATGTGCAGTTCTTTCCAGATGTCACTCCCCATTAGTTCTTTTGCCAGAATGTGGATGGCATCTTTGTTTCTTAATGTGTCTTTCTGTTCAATGTTAGCACACCATTCAGACAAAGAAAAAAAAAAAGGGTAGTTTGTGGAAAGCTTGCTTGTTGGGATAATATGCTTAATGTGTTCTATGTTCAGATGAGCACTTATTTATTATAAATGGAATGTATTTGAATTACTGTTATTTGTTGATCTCATTGTGTCACTTTAGGTTTTGATTATTAATGAAATGCTAGTAAGTATCACTTATGCATTATGCAGCGTTATTTGAATTATTCATGTGTGGCAAGTGGAGTTCTGCACTTTAAATTGTTGCCTTGGCCTCATGTTTATATTTATTCTGTGGTTTTTGTGCAATCAGAAAGCTTTGTAGGAGAAAAAAAATGTGTATTTGTTCACTGAACTGAACATTTTCAGTATTGTAAGTGGACTTCCTGTTAGAAAAAGAAATGTTAAAATGACCCTGTTTAAAACTCTGCCTGATTATACACTCATGAAAGAAAAAATTATAATGGTTTTATAAAAGCTGACATGAATAGTAATGTTTTAATTTAAAAATATTTACAAAGAAATAGATATTTTTTTATTTTAATCATGATTATGCAATGCAAATTAGCAAAAGGTAATAGTTCTTGCTAAATACCTACTGTTCTACTGAGCAAAGGAGAATGTAACTATTCTTGAGTACACATTTGAAAAGAATACACGTCTTGAAAAATGAAAAGCCCAAGCTCTTTTAAAGAATATCTCAGTTTTAAAAAGAAAAGATATTGACAACATTGCTCAGACAAGCTGTTTAAAAATGTTTTAAGCATTTCCAGGAACAATCCATAACAGATGATAAGGCAGACAGCTTTTAAAATACTGGATTTATATGAATAAACAGACTGCCTTATCTGCAGTCCTGTATGTAGCAGTGGTCAACTCATGTCTAAAGTGATAGTGTACATGTAGAAGGTATTTTTAAAAAAACCCAAGGGATTTTGAAAATTTGAGAAAGGACTGGGGAAAAAAAGAATTTGAGAAGAGATTTGAAAAGGGTGATAGCAGAATACAAAATAATGCAAAGTAGAAAGAAGCTAGATCACAGGAACTCATAAAAGCAAGATCACATTAGTGAAGTTTTATGGGGAAAATGCTCAGATAAGAAGATACCTTTTCAGGCAATGTTCTGTTAAATCATGGATCTTGCTCCTTCTGATGGTCACTGAGGCTCAACAACTGAGCAGATTTACTTACATGCTTAATAATACAAGCCCAAATAATTGTAGTTAATTGTAGCATAATTATACAACACTTTTCAACCTCTCAACCTCTACTTCAAGTTTTAAATCAAAATTGCCTGTAACAACTCCAGAAGAAATGCAATGAAAGGGCATGTTATGCTTTACCTCCATGTGTGATTTGAAATATTTGGCATTGGCCAGGTCAGAGACTGAACTAGTCTGGTCCAAGGGAAGAATCTCTGCTCCTGCATGCCCCAAACATCATCCCCTGTCATGTGCCTGGTGGTGCAGTGATGACTGAGTCCAAGACAGGCAGACAGGCATCTGGTGTGACTAGAGTAAGTAAGAACAAGCTGTTTTAAAAATCAGATTGTTTTGAAGTTAAGCACATTGCGGAGAGCACAGCATGCTTTAAATTACACGAGGTTATACCTAGTCGTGAATTTCTAGGTACTAGGAACTTTGGCTTAAAGTTGGGGTGTTTTTTTAAGCACTTGTACTGTATGTGCAATAGCTCATGCTTTTCTCCACAGAGAAGCCAGCAAATGACATCTAGAAGGCTCTCTGTACCAAAACCAACAACAAAAACAATTCTTGAGAAGTCAAAGGGACATCAGCAACACCAACAACAGTCTGTTGTGTAAAGTTAATAGGACTGTTAGTTTTTCTCAAAAGGCTGAGCAATGTTTTTGGAGGGCAGTTTCCTGGAAATTTCAGTGGAAATTCTTTCTTGGAAAATGCCCTGAATCGGAGTGTGCTCCAACCAATGAGGTCCCCTGTGGCTTCTACGGAGGCAGTCAGTTCTGTGGACTGAATGCAATAATCATGCCTAGAGTCACACTTTCCTCCCCTGGTCAGGACTCAGACATGTGTATTCGCTTCAATTCTGGCTTTAGTTTGTGGTTTCTTGTACACTTGGGTTTAGTTTGAAAAGAACTATGCTGAATGAGTGGAGTTGAGAGAAGAATGAGCCCTAAAGGCAACCTTATACCCCCCCTCCTAATGTTTAATCTCAAAAGTTTTGTCCCGTCAGGTAGATATTGTTATATTTACACATCTCTTAGACTCAGTGGTTTGGCTTAGTGAGTTGAGTCAGCCGGTAACAATTAAACCCAGCCAAGACCAGGACGTAAACTGTGAGCAGCTGACAAAAACGTAAAAATGTTTTACCTTGATCTGCACTTAAGTCAGTCACCAAAGGCTTTGCTTAGCCAAGTGCTCCTAGGCGCAATTAGATACAAAAACTCCCTGGAGATAAGCCTTCAGTAGAAGGGGCCAGTGTTAGTGACAACTGAAGGTTTTGATCTCTGTGTCCCGTCTGGCCTTGTGGCTTCAGAGCTGGGTTGTGTTACTTTAACAGCTTTTGCTGATTAAGCTCCTAAAAAGCAGTTGCACAAACTCCTTAGCTGAGGAAGTTCGCAGACCTTGCTTCAAGATGAACCTTCTTTCCCCAAAGGAGAGTTCACATCTCACTGTAGCAAGCTTTTCTGATTCTGATCCTTGGTTTTGTCTGCTCATTGCCTGTTGTGCATAGGCTCTGGTTCTTTCGTTTGTGAAAAATGCCTAACTGGAGTTAATGTTGTTGAATTTATCTTTCCTGTTGTACTCGTATAGTTTCAAGAAAGAGCGATGTATTAGGAAAAATGGTATATGCGATTTCCACTGTTCTGCTTGGTTTTGATCAATGCTAAATGGGAAGTCATGTACTGTTGAAACAAAATAAAGAGGCCTTGTGTTTACACCAACCCTCATGTCTTTCTGTGTTTGACTTTGGAGGAGAGAGAGAAAGGCAAGCTGACTAATGAAGATTTACAGTGAAGATCATAATACGCAGCAAAGTGTTGGAGATGCACAGAACTTACCTGTTTCCTGGGAAACTCAGGCACACCCATCACAGGGGTTGGAAAACTCTTCTTAGTGTGCATAACTTTATTTTTGAGGATCTGTTTCCAGATTCAAAACTCTTACAGCTTTTGATGCATCTTTATTACCATATTTATTGGCTTGGTAAATCAAAGCCAGTGCTTCAGTATCCTTTTTATTATTTTGTGTATGAGTAGAATATCCTGAAATGCTTTCTTCTTGTACTTGGCAGCAAGTACACAGAGTTACATCTCCTTTAATGTGTTTTGCTTCACTTTCTTACTTTTCAAAGCTTAGGCATAAAAATATCCCCAGTCTAAGCAGCTCTGAAACTCACCAGAAGTGGATTTTCTTGAAACAAAAACTACCATAGAAGAATCAGCAATTACACACTGAGGAATTGTATGCTGAAATTTTGAAAACTATGTGCAAGTTATTACCAGTTTATGCAATATTATGTGCACAGGAAATAAAGCTGTTCTATATTTCCATCAACCAACTTATCAGGAGGTCAAGCACACTACAGAGAAAAGACAAATGAAAGAAATCTTCTTTATAGCCTACTTTCTTAATAGAAGGGCTTTCAACGTAGGAATTACAGAATCACACAACTACTGCTACTTAACAGTTTATTTTGGAAAACAGTAGTAAGAAATGGTTTTGTGACATTTTGCTAGAGCACTATGTTGAGACTTACCTGTTTAAAGCAATATAAAACCCAGATGTGAGCACAGTGGTTATGGTATAGAAGGTTTGTGAAAATTTGAGAGCCTTTGGGTATGTGGTCAGTAAATCTCAGGCTACAATTACATGTTTCACTGCAATGGGTTGATGCAGGCACAGTGTGCACAAGTGAACACAGAATTTGCGAGCTTAAAAAAGAGCCACTGAATAATCATGACCAGTTTCATTTTCATCAGTCTTCTCCAATGGCAATTAAGAAGAATGCAAAGACCATTCTTGATTTGGGATCAGTTGCTGGATCATTTATAACTGAGCTTAATAGGTTTATAGTTCATGAGTTAAGATGCAAAACGAAGGTTGTTTGCCCCATGCTTGTACTCTGTAATTAGCTGTCTTCCTTCCAAATTAATGAGCTTGTGTCTGCATTCTTGCATGAATTCTGATTAAAACTGTCCTTTAGGAGTTAACCTAAATAAGTGGCTAGAAATGCCATGAAATCCTGATGAAATACAAGCAGTGCCTCTTCCCTTTTCCTAGAGGTACCATCTACAAATATAAAAGGTATTTTGCTTTTTAGAACCTGGAAGTCTTAAAAAGGATGCTAAGGTTTAATCTCAGGCCCCACTTAAACAAATCTCAACCTCCCAGCACACTGGTGAACATTCATAGCTGTGAGAAACCAAACTCCTCTGATAATTCATACAGAATATCAATTCCGGTTAGCTGTGGGCACTGCTAGTGCTCGTTGTATTAACTCGGTAGAGTAAAAATTGGTCCTTGAGCTTTTACTTTTAAGGAGTCACCATTGTAGTTTTTTTATGGCTTGTGAAACAGCAAACAGATTTGCCAAATGAGAACAGTGCTGTCTTGCAGCGCTCTCCAGCCAGCACTGAGCAATCCTCCTTACACCAGCTGAGGGGCTGCATGTGTTGGGGGTATTTCCAGCATTGTTATATAAAGATTCACATGCTCTGAGGGATTATTGAGGGAAAAGAGAAGAGTTTTAATTGTGTACTGAAGATGCTGTTACAGAAAGAGAGATTCACAGATTTTTAAACCTAAAGTTTGCACTGGCAGCCCAGAAAGCCAACTGTATCCTGTGCTGCATCAAAAGAAGTGGCCAGCAGGTCCAGGGAGGTGATTCTTCCCCTCTACTCCACTCTGATGAGACCCCACCTGGAGTACTGTGTCCAGTTTTGGAGTCCTCAGCACAGGAAGGACATGGACCTGTTGGAATGGGTCCAGTGGAGGGCCACAAAGATGATCAGAGGCCTGGCACCCCTCTCCTATGAAGACAGGCTGAGAGAGTTGGGGTTGTTCAGCCTGGAGAAGAGAAGGCTCCGGGGAGAGCCTTCCAGTACCTAAAGGGGGCATACAGGAAAGAAGAGGAGGGACTCTTTGCCAAGGAGTGGAGCAATAGGATGAAGGGTAATGGTTTTAAACTGAAAGAGGGGAGATTTAGATTAGATATCAGGAAGAAATTCTTTAGCGTGAGGGTGTTGATGCACTGTAACAGGTTGACCAGGGACGCTGTGGCTGGCCCATCCCTGGAAGTGTTCAAGACCAGGCTGGATGGGGATTTGAGCAACCTGGTCTGGTGGGAGGTGTCCCTGCCCTGTAGCAGTGGGGCTGGAACGCCATGATCTTGAAGGTCGCTTCCAACACAAACCATTCTATGATTCTGTGATCTCTGAGCAACCAAGTGAGGTAAGTGAGAGCTGAGAGATCTCAGCTGAGAGGTCATGAGAGCAGTGGTTTTCTGTATCCCTGTGTAAGTCTGGAATAACTTTTCTGGGATGCTGAGAAACAGCTGCTCCTATAATTAGTTCTTGAAGTGTCACTTCTAGGGTATCCACTAAATCCATCTTAGGCTGTCATCAGCAGAAAGTTGCTGTGAGCTCATGATTGTTTACTGGCCTCTGCTAACTGAAATGCAATTGAACAAAAAGAAAAAACATATTAAAAAAAAATGAAAAGAAGAAAGCAAGTGAAATGTCACCCATTGTAAGTAGAATTGGTTTTCTCCTGACAAATGTTATCTGTAAAACCTGCTGGACACGTTAGGCTGTTGTGGGACTAACTAGACATTGAGACAACTTGAACAACTTTTGTTCCTAGGCAGTACCTCTTCTGTGAGGATCCACAGAGGATTTCAGCTGTCACACTAATGACCTTCCATCTTCAGACAAAAAAAAAAACAAACCACCCCTTCCTCATTTACTTAAAATAATCAATTTGGAAAAAAAAAACTGCAGCAAAGGGAAGTAGGTCAGGAATCCCAGAGCTGTTGACAGCATTACGTTTCTTCATGTGGAGAGCGGATCTGTCCTCAGTGGCACATCAGCCACTGCTCGCCCCATCTGTCCTTCTGCAGGGATAACTGCAGTCTCCCTTATTCAGAGATGCAAAAGGGACTGAGCTGGGTCAGACCAAAGGTTTATCTAGCACAGCTGTCCTGATTCTAGTAAGGTTGATAAATGTGAATGTGCAGGCAGACAGCAGGACACAGCACAAGCTTTCCTTCATAGCATCTCTCACTTTCAGCAAGTAAGTCCAAGAAATTTAAAGTCAGCAGGGAAATTTGGTTTTGCTCCTTAGTTTGTCTAATCCCTTTATGAAACATTTACATTTTTTGCTTTCTGTAACATCCAGTGATAGTGAGTTGCTCCTGTTCATTATGTGTTGAGTGGCACAATCATTTCTTCTGGTGGTCTTGTTTTTTTTCAAACTGGCTGTGTAAATACACCCCTACTTCCCAAACTAGAAGCTACAGTAAATAATATAATGTCACCTTTTCCATTAATTACCGTCCTTAAAATTAATTTCAAAGACAAGTAGGAATGTTTTGCGTTTCTTATAATTTTGACTTGGATTTATCAAAAGGGTGTTTTCATGTATTTATTTTGCAATTTGGTTTGACAGAGAAAGCTTAGGACTGGACTGCAAATTGCATGTGAAGAAGACTGGGCTGGTTTCACAAAAAACATGGAGCAGCAGCGAGTCTCACCCATCCCCCAGACAAAGCAGACCATTTCATAGACCTGGAAGCAGGAGAACATTTTGTACATGTTAAGCAAAGGCCTAACAGCCTGGGATTTGCCAGCCACCACAGCAGTGTCTGATCTCTCTGTTCCAAGGATCATAGGTATGTTGAGCTGGGCATTGCTGAAGGACAGTGTCAGATTCAGGGTTGGCCAGACTTTAGAAAAAATATTGTACAACTAACGTCTTTCTCTTGATCCAGACTGATTAACAGTATCAAGTGTCTATGGTTCTTTCCTCCCTGTACAAATCCAGTGTGTGGCATGACAGCTGCTACAAAGAAGAGAACAGTAACTGTGTGCCAGGGAAGAGGAAAGAGAGGCAAGAGGAAGGTACCTCCTTCCTCCCTACTGGTGCTCACTGATGTAAAACCTCATTCTTAAAAGAGGTCCTTTCTGACAGAAAAAGGACTACAATAAGAACACAGTTGTTTATCACTCCTAATAAGGACATAAGAGGAACAGGCACCACAGCTGGCAGCAGTATCACCTTTCACAACTCTTTTCAGAGATGTTTTATGAGTTCCTGCTGATGTGCAGTCTCTGAGCACTGCCAAAACATTATGTCCCGGGACAAGTTTAAAAAGCTGCATCAAACTACAGACAACTTGAGCTTTGACCCTAGCAAATTCAAAGTTAAAATAGCTTAACTGCAAATAGACGCACAAAGTGCAAAATATGCCTTTAAATCATTATTCATACTCACTTCACATGAGCACTCAGGACTATTACATTTTGTTTTCTAAATTTTCCTGTAAGTACAATTAGGTAAACATTCAGACACGGCAGTGAGAAATGTAGAATAGATGGATGAACTGCATATTATATTATATTATTATATGGCAAGGATGAGCCTTTGTAACTTGTTTTGCAAGCCCAAAATTGCCATATAGAGTTGGGGTTATTCAGCCTGGAGAAGAGAAAGCTCCGGGGAGACCTTATAGTGGCCTACCAGTATCTAGAGGACTACAAGAAAGCGGAAGCGAGACTTTTTACAAGGGCATGTGGTGATAAGACAAGGGGTAATGGCTTCAAACCAGGAGGGTGGATATAGATTAGATATTGGGAAGCAGGTTTTCACCTGGAGTACTGCGTCCAGCTTTGGAGTCCTCAACATAAGAAGGACATAACCTGTTGGAATGAGTCCATCGGAGTGC